CCATATAAATACTGTGGTTACAAAATTAGATCAGAGGCTGGGAATCCTGCAGTAAGTAACTCATCTCCTGGCTCTCAAAGCCTGCCCACCATCTACAAGACACAAGCTAGAATATCATGGAATATTTTCCAGTTGTCCGGATAAGTGTAGTTATGAAAATACTTGAGAAGCTGAACACTTTCAGGACAAAGCAGCCAGTTTGACTGGCATACCTTCCACCATCTTCAGCACTCATTCCCTGCACCAGCTCAGTGGAAGCAGTGTGCACCATTTACAAGGTGCATTGCAGAAACTCCTCAAGCCTTCCACCAACCTCCAGCACCTATAAGAACAAGGGCAGCTGACTCTCCACTTGTAAGTTAAATTCCAAGCCACGCACCATCATCGTTGCTGGACCAAAAGCCAGGATCTCCCTTCCTTAAAGCACTGAGTGTACACAAACCAGATCGACTTCAGCAGTTTAAGAAAGTGACTGGCCCACCTCCACAAGGGCAATTAGGGATGGTTAAATCCCCTAATTTTTTGAGCTGAATAACCAGCATAGACGCAGTGAGTTGAATGGTCTGCTATGTTGTGTGATTCATTGAAGAGGTCTTTCTCACATTGTGCCCCTAGTTTATTATGTAATACACTGTACATACTACTTTTAACCACACCCATCACAAGAAAGCCAGGCACCTGTCGTCAGGGAGGGTGACAAGACAGTCGAACAGCTGCTCTCCCAGGCTGCTGAATGTAAACTTTTCTGCAGACTGCTTATTCCAGACAGTTCCCAGACTGTTCATCCTGAAATTTCTCCTCCATTCTTGGACCATCCCCAGACTGCACCTTTCCAGGTTTCCAGACCTATGCTGCTGCTCTCTATAACCTCCTGAAGTTCTGCTAATGCAGTAGGATGTTGGGGTTGGGGACTCTGTTGAGTACAACCATAGTAATGATGTGAAGTGTCAAACTATATCTGAAAAGTCCACATAATGCATTTATTGGTCTCTTAAATATTTTGAGTTTAACAGAACAATGAAGGGAGGGGTCAGTTCCATAGTTCAACTGGTAATGTTCCAATGTTTCAAGGAAATGCCTCTGTTTATTTTGGTCCTGGGAGCAGAGTGATTTTTCCAATGTGGAATGTGCTTCCTGCTGTGTCTGCAAATCTGTGGTGACAGGCCCATGAAAGAGGCAATGAAAAATCCAGTCTTAGATAAAGCTGAACTCCTACCAATGCTGTTCCTATACCCTGTCAATTCCTGACAGGGTATCACAGAGAGTTTAAGTCTATAACCAAATTTTGCAGTCTGGGAAAGAGCAGTTTGTATCTAATCCATCCTGTACAGTACTTGTTCTAGAAGTGTTTAATGGGGACAGTGTAGATTGAACTTTACTCTGTACCTAACCGTGTGTTATATATGTCCTGGGAGTGTCTTTTGGGGACAGTGTAAAGGGAACTTAACTTTCAGTTTAAAAGAATAGAAGGAGCTTTACTCTATATTTAACCCTTTGCAAAGCCAGTCCTGCAACTGATTGATGAGGACAGTGTAGAGAGAGCTTTCTCTTTAAGAGAGTTAAGGGAGCTTTACTCTAATTCTAATCCTGTGACACATTTGCCTGAAAAATGTTGTCAGCATCAAACTCAGAATAGGGGATAGCTGCCTTTGCTGAACCTAACTGTGAGAAGATTACATCATATCTCCTCCTGTAAGGTGACCCATGTTAATGTGGTACACAAAGAGCAAAAACACAGCAAATGTACAGGGACAAAAATGGGATTATTACATTAAATTTGGAAAAATAAGTGAAAAGCCACAGCATTCAGATTTAAGTAATATTTGCAAAATAGATAAGAATTTCTATGCAATAAGTGGCTTTCCCTGTTTCTCCATTCTCACTTCCTCTTTCTGATCAATCTGCCCTTTCCCAGATACGCTCCCTCTTTTCTGGTCAGGATTCCATCCCTTTCTTCATTTACCCGAGAGCTGATGAGATGCCTGCAGTCCCCTCCCCTGCTAAAACTCAATATTAGGCCATTCAGGCAAAAGGAACTTTTCAGAGTTGGCCATATCTAAATCATTAGTATTATGATGGATTCATACATATTGTCTGAATAATACAGTTCCAAAAGTTTTTAAGAGCCATTTTGAAAGAAAGACAAACTTTAAGGGTAGGTGATGGCCTAGTGGTATTATCGTTAGACTATTAATCCGGAGACCCAGGTAATGTTCTGGGGGCCTGAGTTCAAATTCTGCTGTGGCAGATGGTGGAATTTGAATTCAATAAAAATCTGAAATTAAGAGTCTAATGATGATCATGAAACTGTTGTTGATTGTCAGAAAAATCAATTTTTAACAATTTATTACTTTTGTAGGATGTGAGTGTCACTGGCTTGGCCAGCATTTATTGCCCGTCCTTAATTGCCCCTTGAGAACGTGGTGATGAGCTGCCTTTTAGAACCGCTGTAGTCCACCTGCTGTGGATTGACCACAATGCCATTAGAGAGGGAATTCTGGGATTTTGACCCAAAATTTGGTTGACTAATATTCTTTACAGAATAAAAGAAATTGCTGAAAAGAGACACATGTGCCCAAACCTATCATATCGCATTCATCAGGACAAATGCAAGAATGTCAAATTTCAAATCATCATGCCAATTTATGCTACAGGTATAAAGCATTCTGATTGCTTGGAAGTTGATTCTGACTGAATAGAGAATGCAATGGGGAATTATAGGCTCTTGAAGCTCCTGGGTTATTCAAAACAGGTGCAAGACTTGAATATATTTCTTTTGTTGGAATGAAAACCGGTGCTGAGTCAGAATGTGTGTTTTTGTTTTAGTAGCGCTTTTCATTCCTTAAGATGTTATACAGTGATTTCCAATTAATGAAATACTATATAAAATTTAGTCACTTGTGATGTAGAAAGTTCAGCTGCCAATTTGTTTGTGGGAGCTTGCAGTGCATAGCTATGAGATAATTATCAAATCATTTGTTTTAGAGATATTGTTTGAAGGCTATAAAAGTGGAGTAAGGCTCATTTAAGGTTTCTTGTGTTTATATTTTTGAAATTGTGAAGAGCCAGAGTGTCATAGAAAGTTCTGGCTAAGGTTTTGGAATTACTGTGTACATCCATATGGTTTCAGTTTAGACAGACAGTCTGGGCTCCATATTCAGGGATTGTGGGCCAGGTTAGTAACCCAGCTAATCACCAGCTAATCAACACTCTCCCTCTACTCTTTTTTTCTTTGCAATCTGACAAAGTTCCGCATTTCTGGCCCAAATGTCCAAATCGGAATTCTTCAAAAATGCCCAGCATAGCTGTTTTCAGAATTCTTCTTTTACAGAACCAGCTGGCATTTTCACAAATACACTGAAAACACTGGGACACTTTAATAGCTTTATAGTGTGTTAATGGATGAAGTGATTGAGTTAACAGGGTTGGTTGGTAGTTGATGAAGTTAAGTCAGGTTTGAGGTGCTTGGTGGTGGAGGGAAGTTGGATAGTATGGGCAGGGCTGGCGATTCAGGGAGGGTTGGTGGGGAAGGTCAGAGAGTTGGGAATGTTGAGGATGGTGGGAGGGCTGGTTGGAAAACCAGGACAAAGTTCAAGAATCAGGATTGGGTTTTGGGGGGTGAATGTGATTGAGAGCTGGTGGGAACATCAGACAGTCAGTAGGGCTGTTTGTGTGCATGGGCCACGGATCGGGAGGCTGGGTAATCTGGGCCATGGATCGGAGGCTGGGT